CAGTAACAGTGATATAAGCATAAGAAAATAAGTCTCCTGCTACAGTAAAATTAAGATATCACTCCTGTGTATCCGTTCCCTTCTTATTTCAGAAACTACACGTGCAGCTTGTCTATATTATTGGGCACATGTAATATATGAATCTAAGTAAACAATTAATTCAACTACAGGTCCTCAACTTACAACAGTTCATTTAGTGATTGTTCAAAGTTACAAGAGTACTGAAAATAGTGACATGATCATTTTTCACAGTTATGTCCATTGCAGCATCCCCATGGTCATGTGATCAAAATTCAGATGCTTGGCAATTGGTTCATACTTATGATGGTTGCTGTGTCCCAGAGTCATGTGATCACCTTTTACGATCTTCTGAGAAGCCAGATTCAATTAACAAGGTTACTAACTTATCAATTGCAGTGATTCACTTAATAACTGTGGCAAGAAAGGTTGTAAAATGGAGCAAAACTCACTTAACAAATGTCTTACTTAACTACATAAAGTTTGGGCTCAATTGTAGTTGTAAGTCGAGGACTACCTGCATTTCAAACCTCCTGTATGGCAGTGTAGCTGAAAGTAGCCATTCTGAACTACCATTTTGAGATATAGCTATGCCACAAAAAAAAAAAAAGCCTTCCATGTTTCTTTACATATCCTTGGCAAGAGGTAGACTTTGAAATCGTTTTTCATCTCCTTTCAGATAAAGAGATGGGCTTTTTTTATATCTATCCAAGATGCAAGCCAGCAGAGGGAAGAGTTTATGTCTCCCAACTTCACATTTTCAGACTTTGAAAGCACAGGAAGACTACAGATTAATTGATAATGAACTATTTGCTACATGATTTCATTTACATTTTGCCCTTTGAGTCAAGGGACTTGTTCAGTACATGATAACTAGTAAAACTAAACAAAAAACCCCTCTCAAAGTTAAAATAAAGTTATTGTTGACTCCAACTGGATTTTGAGTCTTTGATATTGCATGATGGACAGACTTGAGCACTACAGGCAATCTACATAGATAGGTTCCTTTCTGGAAAACCTTTAGCCTCTTAAATTATATGTTAAATCTTATTTGTTCAGCCTTCTTTTTGGCTTGCTTTGATATGGGTGGAGGTTTCGTAAAATCCCATTTAGTGAAAGAAGTTATCCTTATGACCAAAATTAATCTGAGATGTTAGTGCATGTATTTTTTATCACCTCTTCTATGAAAATGTACTGTACGTGCTGGTAAACTTATACCACCTCCAAACAGAGATCAAATTTTCAGTGAAGGAGAAAAGGTTTATTTCCTTCTTTCTGACTGGAACCTTCTATGAGAAACAGAGTTGCCAACTTATTACTAACATCTATGAACCTAACAAGGCTTAAGGTGTCCTTTAACTCTTTTACCTTAATTTTATTTTTCCTCTTTTGTTTTCTTTGTTTTATTTCATTCTCTTTTCTTCTTATACATAATTTTAATTGGCAGTTATAAATAGTGGCTTTATTGCTTATTTGAGCTGGCTTTCATGGGTTATTTTAGTGTTATACCTACTTTGCTGGTCATTGACTGCAAATAAATAAAACAGCTATATTAGTTGCAAAGTTTATCATTTTTTAAAACAGTGAAATATTCATAAATATTGAATAGAAATAAGCACCCTATTAGTAAAGGAAGATATAAACATGTAAAATAATAATAAAACATTTGATCTATATTCATTTTCCTGTATTATCAAGTGTCACAATGAAAGTCCAAATCCTAGTGACAGTTTTCTATCTTGATAAACTACTATCCAGCTCACAACAGTAATCAATATGTTGAAAATGGCTGATGTTAATGATGCAGAAAATAGTAAAACAGGTTTGCTTTCGACTTATCATTAAACTAATACAATGATCATATATGCATGAGATGACCAAGCTGTCACTGAATTCCTATACTATACATTTCATTAAGGGCATCATCTGACTAATGGAGAGTTTCTTTATTGACTTTATGGTGAAATGATACAGTCACTAAGGAAGTGTACAAAGAAAATTACTTTTCCAGATGTCATGTTTCTGACAGTCAGGGTCATGCAAAATTTAAACCAAGAATAAAAGATAGTAAGGAAATAAAATATTAAAGAGCATTTAAGAGGTCAAATTGTACATGTAGTCCTTGACTTACAGCCACAATTGACCCCAAATTTTTGTTGTTAAGTGACAGAGTTGTTAAGTGACTTTTGCCCCATTTTATGAACTTTCTTGCCATAGTTGTTAAGCGAATCACTGCAGTTAAGTTAGTAACATGGCTGTTAAGTGAATCTGGCTTCCCCATTGCTTGTCAAAAGGTTGCAAAAGGTGACATTGCAACTGTTATGAACCAATTGTCAAGCATCCAAATTTTGATCACATGACCATGGGAATGCTGCAGTGGTCGTAAGTGTAAAAAATGGTTCTAAGTCACTTTTTTCACTGCCGTTGTAACTTCAAACAGTCACTAAACAAATGGTTGCAAGTAGAATACCTGTATATGTGACACCTTATTTTCTCATAAAACAAACTCAATGAGTTTTTAAATTTCAATTTGTAAAATGACTCAAAGTTATCAACTGTGCTTTTCATGCTAAAGAACAAGGAGTTTCCATGGAGACTTAACTATTCCTTTCCAGAATGAAGGATTCTTTGGGACTAAACCGCAGTATTGAATGCCAAATATTATTGTTTGCCTCATCCCTGGGCTTTATTTTGTTTTATGACATATCAAATCAATACGTTCCACATCATCTATGCCAAAACAAAGCTCAGAGGTGCATATTGCTTGAACAGCAACAGACTCCTGGAAGCTCTAGTTATTGAAAGAGTTTGATGTGAATGGAGAGGTTACATCAACAGCATGCTAAAGAGAGAATATCAGGAATGCAAATCTTGTTCAGTGCAGTTTAACACATCTTGTTTCTACTTTCTTGAAGGGGTGAACACCATCTCAACCTATTTGCTAGAATTAACCATGATCTAGGAGGCCATATGGATTTGCCAAATGGCCTGATGTAATTTAATGGCATTTATTCTAACTATGAAATAAGTGATAAACATAATTAACATTCCTTTAGCTCCTTACTGGATGTCTTTTATTAGTTTCATTTTTTTCAAATATTGAAAGGTAAGTTAATACCTTGTTACAGAAACACAGATGCCTGCTAATTACCTCAGAAGGTTGAATGCTTCTGAAGCAGAGATCCTCTGCTAGATTCTTACTTACCTGATGACCCCCACTGTGAAGATTAATAGGCAAAGCACTAAATTATAATGAGCGTGTCAGATCTCAAATATTTTTCAGGTTCTTTTAATTAATATTAAGAGATACAGAGTATGTCCACAACAATTCCAATATATCTGTCTTACTTTGCCATAAATAAGGTATCTTGCACCATGTGTGCTGCCTGCTTTATTCCAAGCTGTAGTACATCAAATGGTTGAAATCAAACATTCAGATTTTGATAAGAAAAAAAAGCCCCACAAAGGAATAACTCTCATTATTTGAATGGTTTATCTTTTTCATCTTCTGCCAATGATTGTTTAATGACTTTATTTCACAGGAAGCTAATTTGTGATAACTATAACTTCAAAGAATGTTTATCTTTGGTGAATTTACCTGCTGTTAGCAGTTAAAATCACATAATTACAGCAAGATAACAAAAGAATGTTACACAGCTTAATTGTGCTACACTTCCTATTTTATATATACAATATAGAAGATACTTCAAATTTCATTTGTGAAATGCAGAATTTATTTTGAATAGAGTGTTCAAATGTCTGCACTATAATATGAATTTCCAAAGAAGAGTTATCCTAGTATTTTCAAGATGTTAGGTATCTTAAGAGATGTGAAAATATTCTAATAATCTCCATAGTAAATCAAGGGACCCATCAGAATCACAGTTTATTGGGTGAAATGGAAATTATCAAAATGAATTGTCAAGATTTAACAGCCAATATAAACTATTAAATAAAAAGAGCATATTAATTTAGCTGCAATGGGATTTCACATTAGCAAATGGAAAACAATATTGGATACTGATCCCCTTCGACCTTAGTGCAGCAATTTTTTGGAGACCTTCCCAGGTAAAGATTAGTGGAGGGTAAGGCTGATAAACAGATGGAATGATTGGTTGCCCTTCTCTTAGAGCAGGGGTAGGTAACCTTGGCTCTTTTATGACTCGTGGACTTCAACTCCCAGAATTCCTGAGCCAGTATCTCCTTCCTTGAAATAAAGATTCCCAGACCTCCTAATGCTTCTTTGATGTTATCCAAAGAACTTTAGAATATCCTAAATTACATCCTGATATTCTATTCTAGCTCTATTTAAATTGTATGGATTACTTTACTTGTATGCATGATATTTCCATTCTTGTTACGTCTTTTTTAATCCCTCTTGCTCAACTAAACCAATGCTTTCAAATTTAGAAGTTCACCAGAGTTCAAAATTCAAAACATTTTATGATATTTTGATACTTTCTAACAAATCTACTACATGGATTAAATTTGGATGGATATTTTATTTTCCCGGACAGATCCATGTATGTTTTTCCTCCTATTTTTCCCTCAAAGAAAGTATTGATGGGGTTTAAAAAGGGTAGGAAAAGGCACCAGCTATTCTCTCAAACAGCGCAATTGATAAACAACTCTTTACAATAAATAGAGGTTGTTTCTGGTTAAGCAAATACAGGATTACAGTCTAAAAGCAAGATATTTTTCTTTTTTCAAGTTGATAATATTGACCCTTTCAGTAGTATAATGGAAACAATACTTCCCAAAGCAACTGAGACAAATGCAGGTAATTTATATTTCAGTCATATTTAAACTGTGATTAGATTGTAAATTTTGCAAGTATTTTTGAGACACACTGCCAAAGCATTTGGGAAATGGAGCCACATAGCTCAGTGGCTTTGAGTCATGTGTCAGAAAATCTAATAAGAGAATTTTGTTTTGATGAGTAAGACCTCAAATCAGACAAAAAAGAAGAAGTTTTCTGGTACCTCCTGCATACATAACAGCCAACATGATTGATGAGATCCACGCTATCTCGCTATATGATGTGCCAAAGATTTCTTGTATCTCTTTGAAGAACACTGTGATGGCTTTGGGGAATGCATAGGAAAATCCAATGGAGATGAAAGCTCCAAAGACCACGATCCAACCCCATCCTCCATCAGGGGGAGCATATTGCGATGCTGTTGTTGAAGGTGGCATTTCTTTTTTTTTCTTGTCACTATGCTGTAGGGAGAAATAAAATGTTGATATAGTGTTTTAAACAGCTGTTTTCCTCTATAGCACACAGTCACTGGAAATTAAATATATTACTAATTTCAAAAAGCTGCTATTTCTCAACACATGAACTGACAATTCGTTGTTAAGTTGCCATCACTGGATGATTAAGTACAACTACTTGTCTATAACACCCAAGGATGCCTTTAAGAGTGGGAGTAAATGAATCTTGGCAACTGCTAAAATCCTTGTTAAATAGGATGTGATTTTTGCATGTCATTGATCTACAATACAAAAATATTATTTGACAATTAATCACAGATGATAAAGGGATCCTTTTATTCTGTTTGTACCAATTTGATTATTTCTGGCAAAGTAAGATTGGCTTATTCAATAGGAGTTTCTAGTCTATATGTGATATGAGTCTACCATCTCAGCCACTGCTTTAAGTTTCATTTTAAAAATATCTTTATTTCAAAGATAAGGATCAGATACAGCTGAAACATTATTGCATTAGGAGACTATGCAATATCAATTGATATGAATTTCCAAGTATATTTGTTGAGCCATTAATAAATTTCTATGTTATTGCATTATTATGCGATCCAGGGCAGTGTTTCAATATATTAAATAAAAAATAATGCCAACAAGAGCCATGCAAAGCCTGGTTTTATATATCACACTTTGGGGATGTCCAATGCTTTCTATTTGAAATAAGATAAGTGATTTGGAATGCACATGGACATATACTTTGCATCTGTCAGAAAGCCTCAAAGCGGATCTAGAGAGCACATAATGATATGAAACTCAAACTGTTGCAGTTTGCAACCATAGCCAATGGCTTACAAACTGAGCATAATGACAGGTTTAACAAAGGAAGGAAGGCTAAACAAAGCATAGCTTATTTTGCTATTTGTGAGCCACATTGCTAAATTCTTATGAAATGAGAGTACATTTACATGTTGCTTTCATAATGTAACAAATCTCTTGGGAAAAATCAATACACAGAGATTTTCTATTCAGGCAAGAGTTCATAACCAGGTTGTTTTTTTTTGGAAATCCCCATGACTTGTAGAAGCATGTTACCTCATAATTATTTAAAATACAAAGCAATTTACAAAATAATTAAATCTGAAGAATCTTGTCTCCACTGTTCTGTTTTTTCATATCAGTAATATGCAAGTTACTTAATAAATACTAATATGTGGTTTTAATACAAGGTGCCATTTAGACTAGGTGATGATATCACAAAAATATCTGCTGGTTTCTGTGAAGCCTACATAACATATGCACAAAATGTTTTAGATTTTTGTCATGAAATGTGATTTTTTTCACAGCAATTGGTTAAGTCTTTTGATCAGTGCCACCCTGAATTCATTTGGCTTTTATTAATCAGATCTACTACTTCAACTTGCCTTGTGAATCTGTAAAGCCAGCAGCAGTCAAATAATGATAAACACTTTTGAAATTGGATGTACGTATTTTAATTTGGATACCAAATTCTCCATTTTGTACCTACGTATTACAAATTATTGTTACTGATTTTGGGCTTTCAGGATTGACTGCCTGAAACAAGGAGACAAGAATTAGGAAGAGTAGCAACAGGAGTTTCATAATCCCATTATATAAAATATACCTCTTTTGATTCCAGAACTAAAATATAACAGTTGCTCAACTATTTCTTGACATACACAAGTTTAGCAATTTTACAATAAGGGATATATTTGAAAAGAGAAAAAAAAGTCAAAAAATGGAAAAGTCCAATAAATATATTTATGTTTCCAATAAAATAAATAGGTATTATATCATCTCCTTTAGATACGTATAGTACTGAAGGGTGCTAGTAGTACTGAATAATATAATATGGCCAGAAGTACTATTAATATTACTGTGTATATTATAACAGTACAACATCAAAACCTATTTTTCTCAATTATAAATATGTGAACAATTTTTTATTGAATCACTGCCATTTATAGATGTGAATTCTCACAGACAAGCTAAATTGAAGAAGGCTATGCATAAGGGGTAATTCACTTCCATGAAGATTCAAGTGAAATACCCACTAAACTGCTTGGTAAAGCAAAGTGCGTTCTCATTTCTGAGAGTGACGCAAACTTGTTACTTTGATTTATTCTCCTTTGTATTCCTCTTATCCTTCTGCTCCAGAGCTACCCATAGGGGTTCCAGGCCGGCCATCTTAGGCAAACACTGGTGGAATCTCTGCTGCCTGCACAAAACTGGCCAAAATTCTACACACCAAAATTTTCTACACACTTTCAGGCAGGATAACTTCAATGCTGTCCTGAAGGTTGAATGGAGCCATCTCACACACTAAGGGCACAAAGTGGTTGAAGAAGACACAATTTGGTTAGTGGAGGTACATTGTGTTACTTCTTTGTTCTAAGCAAAGCAAATCACACCACTTTTATGGCAATGAAGCAATTTTGAATGTCTTTGAATATAATCATCCACATTTTAATACTGCTTTTAAACACTTTTCTTCTGTCACCAGCACTTAATATAGAATGTGTCTGCTAATGATGGCACTCTGCTTGTGAAATATCTACCTAGAAATTGGTTTCTGGTGCCTTGTGTCCTCTTTTCAGTACCAGGTATGAAGCTTTTTATATCTCTAGGACCTTAAATTGTAAAAAAATTATTTGATTTTTAGATCTAGCACATTCGTTTTGCTCTACAGTTTTGCAACTGGGTGGGGGTGCGGTGGGAGGAAGTTTTTTTCCTTTCACTTTAGTGTTCTTTGTTTTAGCAAATAAATGAGCTGCTTATATTAAAAAATTCCCTTTATGTCCAGATCCAGAAAAATGATTGCTAATGATTTCTAATTTATGTACACAGGTGGCAGCATTTTATCATAGAAGTATTTTCCACATGAATGATGGATAACAATCAGGGACAATAAACATGAGGCCATAGATCCAGGAATGGACACCAAAATTAAAAAAAAAACCACAAAGATATTTCAGTTCCCTTGATTTTCTGATTTTTTTTCCAATTTAATTAGATCAAAGATTGGTTTTTATTTCCCTCCCCCCCAATTTGTCTTTTACTGACAGCTACTGTTTGTATCAGATAAAAGAATATCATGGGGAAAACTGACATTTGACTTTTTTGTCCCTAAGACAATCAATGTGAAAATTAAGACTGTCCAGGCCGCAGACGTGGCCACACTACAGGTAGAGTGGGCCGTGATACACGAAGGAACAGTGAAGGACTGTGATTGATATGCCCTGGCAATACAAGCCTTAATCCACCTGGCAATAGTGGAAGATGAGACCTTGAGTTCCATAGAGGAAGGATTGAAGAAAAGAAAAAGAGCCTCTGACCTACGGAAAGCAGCAGTCCTTTTAAGATAAATGCGTAGCGCCCTGCAGACATCCAATGTGTACCATCTGCGTTCTAAGTCATGAGATGGTCTAGGGCAGAAACTCGGCAACACCATCTCCTGGGACCGGTGAAACAAGGAGTTCACCTTAGGAATGAAAGTGGGATCTAATCGCAGGGTTACGCAATCGGGGCAAAACAGGCAGAGATCCTCCCTGACCGAGAGGGCTGCCAGTTCAGATATGCATCTGGCCAAAGTCACTGCCACCAGAAAGGCAACCTTCATGGATAAGAGATTGAGATCACAGGATTGAAGTGGTTCGAAGGGCGACCCGGTAAGGGCCTGTAAAACCTTTGAAAGATCCCAAGAGGGGTACCGATGAACCGTTGGAGGTCTAGTATTAACTGCTCCTTTGATGAACGAACGGATCATCGGATGATGGGCTAGTGAGGAAGAGTCGTCACAATAATGTATTGTGGCCAAGGCCACAACCTGCCATTTGATAGTACTTGGAGACAGACCCTTATCTATCCCATCCAGTAAAAATTGTAAGACCTGAGGCACAGTGAGAGATGACATCTGGACATGATGCTTGGACATCCAAGACAGAAAATTCTTCCAAGTGGAGTCATAAACTCTATTAGTTGACGGACGTCTAGACGCTTGGATCATATCAATGACCCTGGGAGGATAAGTGTCCTCAGTCAGACGTCCCCGCTCAAGTGCCATACGATTAACTGCAACCATTGAGGGTCGGGGTGCCGGACCGCCCCTTGACTGAGCACTATTCAGCCTGGAGGTATCCTCCATGGGTTCGATACTGACAGGATCATGAGGTCGGCGAACCACGGGTGCCTTGGCCAATGAGGGGCTATGAGGATCACCTCCGCCTTCTCCCGCAGAATCTTGCGGATGACGGCCGGAAGGAGAGGGAGCGGAGGAAAAGCGTAGAGAAGGCCCCGGGGCCACGCTATGTGCAGAGCATCTACTCCATCCGACCCCGGTGATGGAAAGTGGGAGAAAAACCTTGGAAGTTGGGAGTTCGCTGCTGAGGCGAATAAATCCAGAACTGGATGGCCCACTCTGTGAGATACTTCTAGAAACAGAGCTGGATCCAGATGCCACTCTGAGTGATCCACCGTCACCTTGCTGAGAGTGTCCGCCTGCTGGTTGATAGCCCCCGAGATGTGATCCGCCTTGATCGAGGACAGATTGGTCTCTGCCCAAGAGCAGAGCAGTCTGGCTTCTGTCATTAGAGAACTTGATCTGGTGCCCCCTTGACGGTTCACATGGGCTTTGGCCGCTATGTTGTCCGTGAGGACGAGAACGTGCTGGCCTCTCACTTTGTGACTGAATTGACACAACGCCAGGTGAATTTCCCTGAGTTCCAGCCAATTTATATTGTGTTTCAAGTCCTCCTTGTACCATCTCCCCTGGGCTATCTGAGACGGAGGTGAGCCCCCCAACCAAAGAGACTGGCATCTGTGGTGAGAACGATCCATGATGGCTCTCTGAACTCTGAGCCCCTGGCGATGGCCCGAGAACTCCACCATCGGAGTGACCTCGATACTGGGGGAGGCAATCTCACCAGCCTGTTGGAGGATGTTAGCTTTCGCCTCTGAAAGGGGAGGAAGAACCACTGAAGGGCTCTGGGATGTAGCCT